CCTGATCTCAGTTGCATCCAGGGTCAGATATCTCCCCAAAGGGAGAGGGAGTGGGTGGATATTGACCCCCAAGCTGCCTACACACAGCTTCTAGTGGAGGGCTGATATCAAGTTTTAGGAAAGGAGGGAACTGGCACAAGAAAAAGGAAGTCAATAACAACAATAATTAATCCTTGCATTTGATATAGCATCTCATCATGTTGTTGAGACATCTCAAAGCGCTTCACAGAATATATTGTAAAGTGGATTGACTGTGTATTTTGTGGGCGAAATACAGCAGCCGAATGTGGGAGTAAGTTTGCCCAATATATGTGTGTGTGTCTATATATATATTGTTTTAAATCAGTGTCTCTTGGAATGTCATATGTCATTGATTCCAATCTGGAGAGTTGCTTGACATCTCACTGGATCTCATATCACACATTCATTCCCAACAAATTGTGTATCATTATGTGTTTCTTTTTTTCTAAAAAAAAATTACATATAATTCATCTCCTGCATAGTCCCAGAGGTCAAAAGCATTGAAGAAATGACACATTCCAACTAAAATCGTTTGCAAGCACTTAAAGATTGCAGCATTGTCATTTCAGGTTTCCAAATGTTAAATAAAACCAATTGATGAAACTCTTCAACCATTGGAAAGCTCCGTTGCGCCACCTGGAGGGAGGGAGGGAGGGAGGGAGTGACTGTGTGCTGAGGGCTGTTTGTGAGCGAGTGCTATGTTAGTGTGTGTGTGTTGTATGAGTGAGGGCTGTGTTTGTGATTGAGGGCTGTGTTTGTGAGTGAGTGCTATGTGAGTGTGTGTGTTGTGTGAGTGAGTACTGTGTTTGTGAGAGTGTCGTGTGAGTGAGTGCTGTGTTTGTGAGTGAGTGCTGTGAGTGAGTCCTGTGAGTGTGAGTGCTGTGTGAGTGTGAGTGGTCTGAGTGAGTACTGTAAGTGCTGTGAGTGTGAGTACTGTGAGTGTGAGTGCTGTGTGAGTGAGTGCGGTGTGAGTATTGTGTGAGTGCGGTGTGAGTGCTGTGTGAGTATGAGTGCTGTGAGTGTTGTGTGAGTGTGAGTGCTGTGAGTATGAGTGCTGTGAGTGTGAGTACTGTGAGTGAGTGTGAGTGCTGTGAGTGAGTGTAAGTGGTGTGAGTGTGTGCTGAGTGAGTGCTGTGTAAGTGAGTGGGAGTGCTGTGAGTGAGTGTGAGTGCGAGTGCTGTGTGAGTGAATGCTCCTAGTGTGAGTGCGAGTGAGTGGTGTGAGTACTGAGTGAGTGTGAGTGAGTGTGAGTGTGAGTGAGTGCTGTGATGAAAGGAGTAGCAACTCTTAAATGGGACGCAGGGTGTTGGGGGTTTGGGTATTGCAATCATTTGGGTGCATTTCTTTCAAATCAGTCTTTAAGCTAAAGTGAGGTCATATATTTTCTGTGTGAGTGTGTGTGTGTGAGTGAGTGTGTGCTTGTGTGTGTGTGAGAATGAGTTTGTGTGAGTGAGTGTGTGTGCTTGTGTATGTGTGAGTGAGTGTGTTTGTGTGTGTGAATGAGAGTGAGTGTGTGTGTTTGTGTGTGAGTGAGTGTATGTGTGGGTGAGTGTTTGTGTGTGAGTGAGTGTATGTGTGGGTGAGTGTTTGTGTGTGAGTGAGTGTTTGTGTGAGTGTTTGTGTGTGAGTGAGTGTTTGTGAGTGTGTGTGTGTGTGAGAGTGTGTGTTTGTGTGAGTGTGTGTGTGGGGGTGAGTGAGTGTGTTTGTGCATGAGAGTGTGTGAGTGAGTGTGTGTGAGAGTGAGTGCTATGTGAGTGTGTGTGTTGTGTGAGTGAGTGCTGTGTTTGTGAGTGAGTGCTGTGTTAGTGTGTGTGTGAGAGTGAGTGCTATGTGAGTGTGTGTGTTGTGTGAGTGAGTGCTGTGTTTGTGAGTGAGTGCTGTGTTAGTGTGTGTGTGAGAGTGAGTGCTATGTGAGTGTGTGTGTTGTGTGAGTGAGTGCTGTGTTTGTGAGTGAGTGCTGTGTTAGTGTGTGTGTGAGAGTGAGTGCTGAGTGTGTGTTTGCTCATCACTCACTATTGCTTAAGAACCGCAGAGGTACAGCAGAATCAGACCCTCTGCCCCTCAGAGCAGCTGAACATCATTGTGCAGGAGGTTTGCGGACGGGGATCCCACACCTCTCCCTCACTCCGCAGAGAAGTCTCTCCAGAGGGACTGTGTGTGCAGTGTATTGTGTTTGTAAGGCATGTACTGAAGGCAGTGCACCTGCTGTATGTTCCCTGTGATACCCCCTCTCCCTCCTATTAATCATTTGCAGCCCTGGGATCGCTTTGAGTGATGATTAATCCCGCGCTTTATGCTGCTCCTCTGAACCATACAGTGAACATCGAGAAACAGCGCCGAGGTCTGTCGGTTTGCAAACAAGAAACCGAATAAACCCGCGTGTGTGGGTGCATTTTTTTGTGGGGAAAAAAAAGGAAGAAACTCTGTATTTTACGGCATATTTTTTATTTTATTTTTATATATATTTTATATTTTTTTATTTTATTTGGTGGCCCGGGGCTGGTGCTGCTGGTGGGGGGGCTGCTGGTGGTGGTGCTGCTGCTGGTGGGGGGGGGGCTGCTGGTGGTGGTGCTGCTGCTGCTAGTGGGGGGGCTGCTGCTGGTGGGGCTGCTGGTGGTGGTGCTGCTGCTAGTGGGGGGGGGCTGCTGGTGGTGGTGCTGCTGCTGCTAGTGGGGGGGGGCTGCTGCTGGTGGGGGGGCTGCTGGTGGTGGGGGGGCTGCTGGTGGGGGGGCTGCTGCTGGTGGGGGGGCTGCTGGTGGGGGGCTGCTGGTGGTGGGGGGGGCTGCTGGTGGGGGGGGGGCTGCTGGTGGGGGGGGGGCTGCTGCTGCTGGTGGGGCTGCTGGTGGTGGTGGGGGCTGCTGGTGGTGGGGGGGGGCTGCTGCTGGTGGTGGTGGGGGGGCTGCTGCTGGTGGTGGTGGGGGGGCTGCTGCTGGTGTGGGGGGCTGCTGCTGGTGGGGGGGCTGCTGCTGGTGGGGGGGGCTGCTGCTGTGGTGGGGGGCTGCTGGTGGGGGGGGGCTGCTGGTGGTGGGGGGGCTGCTGGTGGTGGTGGGGGGGCTGCTGCTGGTGGGGGGGCTGCTGCTGGTGGGGGGGGCTGCTGGTGGGGGGGGGGCTGCTGGTGGGGGGGGGCTGCTGGTGGGGGGGGGGCTGCTGGTGGTGGTGGGGGGCTGCTGGTGGGGGGGGGGGGCTGCTGCTAGTGGTGGTGGGGGCTGCTGGTGGTTTATGGTAACGTGTGGTCGGCTCTCTCTGGTGCAGAGGGCACAACCCCAGCACCTGTTGCTCAGTGAGGTCCAGCAGCCAAGTCATCCTCCACCACCACCACCACCACCTCCTCCTCCTCCACCACCTCCTCCTCCACCACCACCTCCTCCTCCAGGGCTCGGCTCACACTTGTGGGTTCACTGTGTGCAATCTTTTGTCTTTGCAATTGCGCCGTTGCTGTGGGGAGAGAGAGGTGTCTGTGTCATTCTCATTCCCGGAGTCTGTGAGTTTAATGAGTAATATTAACAGTGAGTTGTTACAAATGGCTGTATGTATGTCCCCTTTTCTGTGCCCCCCCTCACCCCCCCCCCCACTCCCTCACCCCCTCACCCCCCCCACCCCCTCACCCCCCCCCCCCCCCACCCCCCTCACCCCCCCATCCCCTTTCCCATCATCTCATCAAACACTCCGGGTCTCCCGTTGTCCCCCTCGGTATGTTATTGCTTCGCTCCTGTTTTTTCCCCGCGGGTTGAGGTCCCCCCCCCCCCCCTGTGTGTGTTTTCCATCCCCTGTCTCCCCCTCTCTGTCTCGTGCAGTATTGTTGATGACTATTTCCTGTGTTCAGCGCTGTTTCATTTTGCATTCACTGCTCTCTCTCTGTGTCTCTCTCTCTGTGTCTCTCTTTCTGAGCCTTAGTGCCCCCCTCCCCCTCTCTGCACTCCCCCCTCTCTCTCTCTCTCTCTCTGGGGGGGGGGGGGGGGGTTGGCGCATGCGCTCTGGCGGTGTCAGCGGATTGCCTCGGAACGCTGCCCCGGGGGGGGAGGGGGAGGGGGAGGCGCTGAGTGACAGCGGCGCCGACCAATCCCTGTCCTGTCCTGTCCGGGGGGCGGGGCCGGGGGGGGGCGGGGCCCCGGCGCGGCTCAGAGACAGAGACACCGCGCGAGACACCGACACCCGCACCCGCACCGCCCGCACCGCCTCCCCGCACCCGCACCGCCCGCCATCCCGCGCCCGCACCGCCCGCACCCGCCACCCCGCACCGCCTCCCCGTACCCACCCGCACCGCCTCCCCGCACCCACCCGCACCCGCACCGCCCGCCATCCCGCGCCCGCACCGCCCGCACCGCCTCCCCGTACCCACCCGCACCGCCTCCCCGTACCCACCCGCACCGCCTCCCCGTACCCACCCGCACCGCCTCCCCGTACCCACCCGCACCGCCTCCCCCGCTCCGCTCCGCTCCGCTCCGCCGCTCTCAGTGCCTTTCGCGGCGGTTACTCGGTGAGTTGTGTTATGTGAAGTAATTGTGTAAAAAAGTCTCTCCCCCACAGCACTGTGCAGTGTGTGTGTGTGTGTATGTGTATACATGTGTGTGTATGTCTATGTATGTGTGTGTATGTGTATACATGTGTGTGTATGTCTATGTATGTGTGTGTATGTCTATGCATGTGTGTGTATGTCAGTGTGTGTGTGTATGTCAGTGTGTGTGTGTATGTCAGTGTGTGTGTGTGTGTGCATGTGTGTGTATGTCAGTGTGTGTGTGTGTATGTATGTGTGTATGTGCATGTGTGTGTATGTCAGTGTGTGTGTGTGTATGTGCATGTGTGTGTATGTCAGTGTGTATGTGTATGTGTGTGTGTATGTGCATGTGTGTGTATGTCAGTGTGTGTGTGTGTATGTGCATGTGTGTGTATGTCAGTGTGTGTGTGTATGTGCATGTGTGTGTGTGTATGTGCATGTGCTCGTGTGTCTGATCTCTGCCCTGTGTCCGTGTGCCCCACAGGACGAGGAGAGGTTCGTGCCGCAGCCGCTGCCCCTCCTCCCCCCCCGCCCCCACCGAGCTGTGTCTGAGCAACTCCCATAGACCTGGATGGATGGGAATGGGGAGAGCAGCCGCTCACTACCCCGGGGCTCAGCGCCCACACACCGCCACAACAGCACTCATCATCATCATCATCATCGCCACCTGCGCCGCGACAGGTAACCGCTCTCACTCACTCACTCACTCACACACACACACACACACACAGGGGAGACACACACACACACACACAGGGGGAGACACACACACACACACACACAGGGGGAGACACACACACACACACACAGGGGAGACACACACACACACACACACAGGGGGAGACACACACACACACACACACAGGGGAGACACACACACACACACACACAGGGGGAGACACACACACACACACACAGGGGAGACACACACACACACACACACAGGGGGAGACACACACACACACACACACAGGGGAGACACACACACACACACACACGGGGAGACACACACACACTCACACACACACAGGGGGAGACACACACACACTCACACACACACACACAGGGGGAGACACACACACACACAGGGGGAGACACACACACACACACACGGGAGACACACACACACGGGAGACACACACACACACACACACACAGGGGGAGACACACACACACACACACACGGGGAGACACACACACACACACACACACACAGGGGGAGACACACACACACACACACACACACACAGGGGGAGACACACACACACACACACACAGGGGAGACACACACACACACACACACAGGGGGAGACACACACACACACACACACAGGGGGAGACACACACACACACACACACACGGGGGGAGACACACACACACACACACACAGGGGGAGACACACACACACACACACACACAGGGGAGACACACACACACACACACACACAGGGGGAGAGACACACACACACACACACACACAGGGGGAGACACACACACACACACACACAGGGGGAGACACACACACACACACACACAGGGGGAGACACACACACACACACACACAGGGGGAGACACACACACAGGGGGAGACACACACACACACACACACAGGGGGAGACACACACACACACACGGGGAGAGAGACACACACACACACACAGGGGGAGACACACACACGGGGAGAGAAAGACACACACAGGGGGAGAGAGAGACACAGAGAGAAACAGTTTCTCTTTCTGTGCCTGACTTTGCTACAAACTCGCCATCTCTCTCCAACCTCATTAGTTTTTTGGGGGGAACTCATGACTTTCTTTGAGAAAGAAAACAATACACCCCCACCCCCACCCCCCCCCCCAGCGCCCCCGCTGTGTGTTTGTTTTGCTGTTTGCAGGTTTGTGTTGTATTTACAGTTTGTGCAGCTAAAGCAACAGCTCGAGAGCCCTGAGCTGTGCTCAGCAGCAGCAGCAGTAGGGGATACATACAACGCAGTCAGTCTGTCTGCTGTTTGGTTTGCACATTAAACCCTTTCTTTTCTTCGCGAAAAAAAAGTTTCAGATCATGTTTAACGGTTTGTACCGAGGAGCTGTAAATCGGTTGTGTTTTTTTTTGCGCTGCGTGTGTGTGTGTGATTTCTCGGGTTATAAACGGGAACTTTGTGAATTGCAGGAGCTGTTTTGAGATTATTTGCCACTCTATAGAGACTGTGTTTACCAAAAGTCCAGGAACGGCTCAAGTTACCACCGTTTTTTTTCACTCCTGCATTTTTCCAGTTTGCCCATTTGTAGGCTCGACCATGTTGGAGCGTTAAAGCTGCTTTAAACATTGCTCCCCCCCCCCACCCCCGAAAATCAATCTATATTTCGGTTTACTGAATCATTCTTTCATCTTCTCCCCCCCCCCCCTCCCCCCCATTTGCATTTTGCTATTTGCTGTTTCTTATCCTTGACATTTTTGAAACCGTTTGCAAAACTAACCCATTTCAAGCCCGTTTGAAATACGTTGTAAATATTGCACAATATTTTGCTTTTCTTTCACGTGGCTTGTAACATTTTAACTGCACGTTTCGCTGTACTGTTTGTGCCAAATGCAACAGATTTGCCACCCCTACCCAATATGTTGAATCGCTCCCAAGTTGTTCTTGTGCATTTATTTTCCAGACAGATTTTTTTAAAAAAAAATAATTCCTCCCCCACTCCCCCCCCCCATACTTTGAAAAGATGTAGACTGCTTGGCAAAAAAAAAATTATTGTGATAAATATGATGGATTGAATTGGGACTGTATCCAGTTCTTTGTAGGAACTGGTTTTCCTAACAATGTAGTGTTTGTGTATTGATGTTGCAGTTATTAATGTTTTTTTTAATGGCTTGTCGTGTTTCACAGGGTATTGTCAACAACCACAATATCATCATCATCAGCAGCAGTGCAGGATCCAGAAGTGCACGACTGATTTTGTGGCTATTACATCTCACTTGAGCTCTGGCCCGGATGCTATCAGCTCTGAGTTCTGCACCGCCCTGCGAGCCTATGCCCTTTGTACCGAGCGCACGGCCAAAGCTTGCCGGGGTAACCTCGTTTTCCACTCGGCCATGCTGGGCATCACCGACCTGATGAGTCAGAGGAACTGCTCGAGGGACGGGCCCACTTCGATTGCAGACCCAGACACCACTCCAGTCAACCACAACATGGGCTTCTGTAACTACGAGAGTCGGGCTGGGGTGGCGAGGGGCTATGGAGGAGCAGCAGGCACCGGGCAACAGTCAACGCGCCGTTATGTGTTCTGTGGCTTGTTTGGAGATCCGCACCTCAGGACTTTCAGGGATCATTTTCAGACTTGCAAAGTGGAGGGAGCCTGGCCCTTGATTGACAATGACTTCTTGTCAGTGCAAGTGACTAATGTCCCTGTTGTACAGGGATCCAGTGCTACAGCTACAAACAAGGTACAGATCCCACTTTATTTCCCATTATGAGATTGAATATAATGTGTGTGTGTGTGTGTGTGTTGGGAGAAGAGAGAAGTGATTTGATGCTGGAAGAAAAATGCAATTTATGATTCCATGATTATTTTTGTCACCAAAACAGGAAGTTTGGAGGTGGACTTGAGGAAAGATTTATTTTTTTTAAAATCGTACGAGTTAAGGTAGTTTATGTAAACATTGTGGAATTTCCATTTGGTAAGGTCTATCGTAGTAGTAATAGGAATGTGGCGTGGAGTGAATTCTCATCATTAACTCTGATTGCTTTATAAACAGCTGTAAATCTTGCAAGTTTCTTGTATATCAGGATTGATTCAACTGAGTCTACTTCACTGTATATTTTCCCTTTCCAGTTGCACAGTGGAGTTAGGGTAGCAATGATGTCTTAGCAAAAGCTAGATGTTATTTGCGAAGCAAAGCCTCATTCAAGATCAGCATAAAGTAAAATGATCACCGTGTATTTTTACTGATTTTATTTGTAAATATTTTCAGTTGCTTGAATTGATTTTTTTTGGTGAAAGTGTGGACTTTGAGAATGTATCATTCTTGGAGGGAGGTGGGAGGGGAGCAATGAATCACAGAATCTCCCAGAATATCTTAGTGTATATTGCAGTGTTTATTTATTTTGTTAGCAATGTTCTATAAATCAGCAGCGCATATGAATTGTGGCAATTTCATGCTCATGACAAACCCATGTGGTGTTTGGTCGGTCTGCGATCTTTTACTGGATCTTCCCATGTTCTTTTTTTCGCAAATGCGTTTTGAAGGGACACTGTGTAATTGTACCTTGCACCATTCTCAATACATTTCCGAGGGTTTCTTCACTTAACATGAAAGGTTTTGGTGAGCAAGACGCCATCAATTTCTACCCTTAAGCAGTATTTGCATTGTTTCAGCCTTTGTTAAATGCTGTTTGAAAGAGTTTTTTTCCTAATCAGTTTGCAAATGAGTAACCGTAGTCACTCGAAAGAATGTAATCCCATTTACTGCTACCATTGGGGTTTTAAGGTAAATCTAATCGGATACCCAGCTAATGAGTTACCTGTATGGATATTGAAGGGCTTAAACATAGATACCGTCAATTTCAAAGAAATGACAATAAAATGTTTTTCCTTTTTAAAAAAAAAGTCTAAATTTTAATAATAATCCTTCCATTTGATGTAACCCCTTATCACCTCGTTGAGATGACTCAAAGGGCTTCAGAGAATATACCGTAAAATAAATTGATTGTATATTGTTGGTGAAACAAGCAGATATCTGCGTGTTTAGTGATTGAACACAGCAGTCTTTGAATCCTGTTTTCATCTTTGAAATGGATGTAATATTCTGCTCAGCGTTTGACGAGCGTTTAGAATAAAATTAGAAAATTCAGTAGGACCTCACTGTAGTGGTGTAATATTGTCTTTGGAGCAGAATTGTTACAGCAGTTAACGGGTTAAGCTGCTGCATTGATTCTTTTTCCTTTGTGTTCTGGAGGAGATTGATCATTTACCGCGTCTCACACCTGGTTGACTGACTTAAATGAAGTATGTGAAGCTTGATTTGTATGTGTCTGTCTTAAAGGAGCTGCCCTGTCGAGATCTTTCTGATAGTTGTGTAAACAAACTGCGGCTAATCATTTATATTAAAAAAAATCAGACCACAGCTTGAGGGCAATCATATATTTTACTTTTGCTTCCACCACCAACCCCACGATCATGGATTGCTCTCTTATCCTGGAGCGAAGCCCATTTAAGCAGGTCACTCTGTTGTGTTCACACCCTGTGCTGGCTTTTCTGCACTTTTCACAGTTGAAGCGAGCGTGTGAACCTGAAAAGAGCAGGGAAACCTGGCAGGTTGGACCACATTATTTTTCACCCCCCTGATGGTTTTAAATTTCCAAATGTGCATCATTTTCAAATAGAGGTGTCATTTCTGTAATTGTTCTTTTTTTAAAAAAAAACTAAATATTTTTTGTTTGATTCATTGAAAAGTGCACACATTTTAAAAGGAAAGAAATTTGGTGCGAGTCTGTCAAATATTGCTCAGCAGTGTACGAATAATATCTTCTCTGCAGTGATCAACACTTGACGTGATTTGTTCAGCTGTTCGGTGTGATGTCTGTTATTGTATACTGAGTGTGCACGGCTTCATTTCTTTCAGATAACCATCATATTCAAAACCTATCACGACTGCACAGATCAGAAGGTTTACCAAGCGAGGACAGATGACCTGCCTGCAGCCTTCATCGATGGTACAACAGTAGGAAATGGTTGGGTAAAGAGTTTGTGGATCGTAGAGAAAGCCAATGGCAAACACGTGGAGGTGCACGCAAAGTACATAGGAATGACAGTCATTGTGCGCCAAGTGGGACGCTATTTAACCTTTGCGTTGAGAATGCCTGAGGAATTGGCCCTGTCTGAGAATGACAACCAAGGACTGCAACTCTGTGCCCGTGGCTGCCCAACGAATGAACGCATTGACGAAGGTGGCCATCTCCCTCTTCCGGCCAGTAGTCAAAGCCACCTGCAGCTTCCCCACAATCAGTGGAGGAGTTCTTACACGTTAGAAAACGCAACAGCCAAATGCTATGAGAAAATCCAAGTAAAGGACGTCTATTTTCACTCCTGTGTTTTCGACCTGCTGACGACCGGAGATGCAAACTTTACATCAGCAGCTTACAGTGCTCTCAAAGACCTGGAGACATTGCACCCAAAGAGAGAGCGCTGGCATATCTTTCCCAAGAGCAACGGTGGAACCCGAAGCGACACAGCATTATTTGCCGTTTCTGTTGGACTGCTTTCTTTTGTTGTGATTGTGTTTTTGTAGTTTTTTTGTTTATAAAAATATTAAATATATATTGTTATAATATATTCAGAAAAGTATATATGTATATACAGTATATATGAAGGGATGGCAATCCTGAGCAAGTGTGAGATTGTACATATTGTGTCATTTGTTACGTAAGTTCATATGAAGTTGGATGTTGTGTACTTATTTTGTCAAAAGTTTTTGCAAGTTGTGTATGAGTTGTGATGCCCCGCAGTAGGGTCTGTTGTTACAAAGGGCACTTTATGTTTCCACTTACTGACACTTAAAATGGCTACCGGTAAATGGCTATGATTTACTTCGCTGTCTGTCCTGTCAACTTTTCAAAACAAAACATTTGGTATACGGTCGCAGCAGGATTTCCAGATGTGCTTCTTGGGTCATGAAATAGAAATGTTTATGTGTAAGGAGTGAATTGTCTAAATATGTAAATAGTTAACTTATTTATAAATGTCCTGCTAGCTAAGATGAACATAAGAGCAGATTCCATACTACTTCTGGTGTGTTCACTCTGCTGTGAGTGTGGTGCCACCTCGTGGATTGCACTTGAGTTACTTCAGTGTTCAGGTCAGCAGTGATTACAAACTAAATATGTGATTGTAGAAGAGGGATTGTTTATGCCTTTTAGAATTATGGTTGTGTTGGTTGAAAACATGTTTTTTAAAAAAAAAAACAGCAGAAGGTCGATATTGGACTGAATGTTTTAAAAGCTACTGCCGTAGAAGACTTTTTTTCCCTAGACCAGTAAATGTGTTATCTTGTGACATTTGCATGGTTAACTATATCTTACGGCTTAACAGTAATGGAAGTATCCAGTTCTGTTGCACTTAATTTTTCTCCTTTGTCTTTTGAGTTCCTCTCAGACCACATGCCAATCCCGGACTGACAGATGGGCTGCGAGAATTGGCCCTGAGCTTCCGTCAGTCTGGATGTGACTCCTGTAAGAGCCTGGGCAGGGGAGTCCTCACTGTGATTCCTACTCTCACTCAGTAACATCTCCAGAATTGGCCACAATGGGGCACTCAGATGTGAGGAAGTCATAGTTGCACACCTAGCTCAATCGCATTGGAGCACCAAGATGCTGTGCCGCCTTTGAGTTCTTGTTTTATATATCAATCTACGTGACTTCTGCAGTGCAAAGTAAACCAGTGCAGTAGAGCAGCAGTGAGGCAATATTGGGTCCTCGTTCATGATCCTAGATAGAGGTCTAAATTGGAAATATAAAGGTCAGGTGGAAATGAGTTCTTGCTAAATATAATCTGCCAAACGCAAATTGGTCTCATCAAAATGCTGTGTACTCTTGAGATAAATGTTCTTGCATATGTATATGAATGAATTCATGCAGCTTTTCCCACAGGCAGGCTCAGAAAAGGTTAGGGTGGCATTAATGAATCCGCTAATTGCTTTGTTGTCCAGTGACCATATCACTTGTTTTACTTTTCCTTGGATTCATTTCTCCCAGACATGTACAACTTTCACCTACTCCTGTTGCAGAAAAGCCCTTCAAAATATCTGGTTTATTCATACAATGTATCTGGATCATTTTTATCAGGGATAAAGGCAAACTGAAGAGCATTTTCAGGGCTCCCCATTAAAGTGTACAGTAGAATTATTTGTCCGGTCTATCTTGAGGACTAATGGTGGCATTTTCATTCCAAATGGAGTTCACAAACTGGATTCCTGTAATCCTTCCACCATCATTAAGCACGCTTATTGGGCCTGAAGTAAAAGTATTTTCTCAGCTGGACTTGAGTGGAAATCTTAGATCACTTGATGAGTGAGTATCCCAGAAAGCTAATGTTGAGCCCTGAACATCCCCACCCCCCCACTCTCTGGTTTTCTCCTTTCAGTGAAATTTAACAGATTCTGGCAGTGTGTCAGACTCTCCTCAAACTCTTTTACCATGTGCTTTTGTACCTGGCTACCATTCCTAAGCCACTGAAGTAAAGAGACCTGCAAGTTTGTATATTTTAAAAGAAAATCGCTGTTGAAGTCAAACGTGCTGATAAAATGAAACGTGCATTAAAATTGTGTTAGGAAATACATGGCTACTGTCTACTTCTTACATTGATATTCGCAAGAACTGCAGCACGTTTTGCTTGTGTTTGGGGACAATTGTATGGTGATTGTGTGTGTGTTTTACTCCATCCATGTGTTTGTTTGAGGGCTGGGTTCCTCATCTATAAACGGACATCTTCAATAAAATGATAGTGGTTTGGAAAGAATGCCTGTATTTTTCTAGTGCCTTATTGCACAGAAATATCTCACAGGTTAATTACTGTTAATTGTAGTGACTGATTCTGTAAGGAATCACGGTAGGCATTTGCCCCAGCAAAGTCAGACAAACAGCAATGAGGTGAAAATAATCTAGAGGATTGTTGGCCAAGACATTGGGATAAACGCCCTTTTTGAATAGGGTCATAATGCCCGCTGACAGACAGTAGCTGGTTCAATGTCTCCTCGGAAAGACCGAATCTCTGACGATACAGTGCTCCCTTAGTAATGAACTGGAGTGTCAGCCTAGACAGTGAGTTGCAGTCCCAATGTGAAGCTTGGACACAAACACCTGACCCAGAGGTCAGGGCCTAAATGCACACATTTAAAAGAATAATACAACAGGAACATTGACAGTGTCAGCAAATTCTAAAGGGAACTACAGTATATAGATTTTTGTTTAGAAGGATGTGATTTATAGAGAATAAATATTGGTGTTTTTCTAATTTTAGGAGAAGACATGGGTCACAAAGTCTCATAAGTTTTGCGTGTTCCTGAAATCATCTAGTTTCACTAACATGTTAAGCATTTAAAATATTGGTTTCATAGCACTAGCAATTTTTTGAAGAATAATGTAGCTGAATATGTGTTTTGAGTGTATGAATCTTGTATTTAATATTGGGTCACTGCTATTAAGAAATACAAGTAGGTACGGAATAAGAGTATGTATAGTAATCGGAAAAGGCCATTTGAATCATAAAACTACTCGATATTGCAGTAAAGTGTTAGGAGGCAACCTTCATTTCTCCATAATTTGAGGAGAGAAATTCCACTTGGGTCTAGACTTACAGCATTTTTAAGAGCTTGAAGAATTTTGGAAATTGTTGAATTCAGTCTTAATGTTGAAGTTGGTTTTCTGTAGTTCTTAAAATACCACATAAAAAGAATAATTCTTTACCCAGTTGGAATGTCAACCCACTTGTACTTCCAGATTCCTGTTTCTGCCAAATTGCAGCAGGAAGACGAGCTAAGCTATTTGAAAGAAGAAACTTATTAGCTGCCCTCACATAGCTAGTTGTTTATTTCAGGGTAAACTCCCCTTTTAGACAGCACACAGAATGTGGCAATGAGGTGGGCTGAGCGGCAACATGACCCCCAGGACTTCAGCAATCACACTGAGTGTGAAAGTGACTCAGAGACACTTCTCCTTTCCAGAGTCTGTCTCCTTGGTTGGTGTGGCAACTACATAGCTGTCCTCTTGGCTCAGTTGGTAGAACTCTCACCCCGGCTCAGAAGTTTAAGCTTTCAAGCCTCTACGTTGGGACTTAAATTTACAGACTAGGATGACACTGAAGTGTAGTTTTGGAAGAACACTGCATTCTTTGGATGAAACGTAAAACTAAGGTCCCATCTGTATCGAGGTGGATGTTATAAATCCCATTACACAATTTAAAAAGAGAAGGGAGTTTTGCCTCATGTCCTGGCAAACAATCCTCCAAATAAATTGGTCATGGCTGTATGTGGAACTTGTACTGTGTGCAAAATGGTTTGAAGCGTTTGCTCACAAAAACAGTCACTATAGTTTACAGTAATTGCTTGAGGAAAAAGTGATTTTCTAGGTTATGGGAAAAGAGCAGAGAAACGGGATTAGATTTGTAGTATCTGAGAGCCGGTACCAGCACACACACAAAGGAACAAACACGAAGGGCTAAATGGACTCCCATCTGCACTGTAAACACAAACTAATCCTGCAGATAAATTGGGTTATTCACCTTATGGCAGTTTTGGGACTGTGCTTTACACAAATTGTGTTCTGTTTGCCTACACATACAGCCAGCGAGGGCATTTGACAGCAATTCCCTGTGAGGTTTTAAGATATTAGTATTACAGGCACTATTTCAAATGCAAGGATTAATATAAAGTTTCTAGGATTCTGACAGCCAGATGGGTTTCAAAACAAGCATTATAATAATAATAATCCTTGCATTTGATATAGCACCTTATCACGTCTTCGAGACGTCTTAAAGCGCTTCACAGAATATACTGTAAAGTGAATTGACTGAATATTTTGTGGGCGAAACACAGCAACCAATTGCGCACAGCAGTGTCCCACAAATAGTTGTGGATTGAGTGACCAATTTTTTTTTGAAGCAATTATTACCCCCAGAAAAGCGATCTGCCAATCAACTAACAACCGGGTTCCTACTTACTGTTAAGTAAACAGAGGCGTGTGGAGTAAGGAACCCTGCCCAAGGTTTCGCCCTGCCGGGAATCGAATCGCTTGCGAGGCGAGTGCTCTAACCACTGAGGTACAGGACTCCAAACATTAAAAGGCTAAACAAAGGTTTAATAAGAAGTTACAGAAAATAAAGTTAATATTCAAAGTCATCAAAATTCAGAACGGAAAAAACAGGCAATCAATTTCCTCTGATTCTGATCATGAGAAATATGGCAGTGCAGTCAAATCATAGTAATTACAAACTAGAGCATCGCCCTGTGGGTTCTGTTGGCAACAGCAATGCATCATTTATTTTAACATAGGAAGGATTGTGGATAATTCCGACAAATTGTGCAACCAATAAAAGGGTTATAAATAATGAAGCATGAAATGAGTTTTACCTCCCTGGAATGTCACAGAATATCTTGCATTAAATTCACCGGTGGTTTGAGTGTTTCTGATATACAAAGATGGTGCGAAACAGACTTCAAACACCTTTTCTCAATAACTCAGTGCTATTTTCACATTGAATTGCTGCTAACAGCAAAGTAGGGCCCAATTCTCACCTTTCGACTCCAATATATCAAATGCAAAGATTATTATAATTTTTTTTAATTTAAAGATAGCCCATTCAGTTTTGGCAGATGTACTGAAAGACAATATTGCATTAGTTTTCACCAATGTCTCAATGTTGGTTTAGGGTTTTAAGAAGGACTGTACTACATTGTTTGCAAACACTGTTGCACACAGGCCTGAATAACAAAAAAATACTTTTACACAGTGTCTTTTGCATAGGGAGGATGTTTCAAAACACTTCAATCAGCTGACTAGGGGTTAGGAGCCAATGGAGCCAAGCGAGGGATAGGGGTGATGAGCTTGCAGAGCCTGGTGTGGGAAAGAACATCACTAAATCACAACTTAAACATTTCCATCTGTTTGTGAATGTCTATGTGTATGTATGTATGTATTTGTACAATTGTAGTTACATTTGTGTATACAAGGGGAGATGAGGAGAATTTTTTTCATACAGTGAGTTGTTCGGATCTGGAATTCATTGAGTGAAAGGGTGGTGGAAGCTGATTCGATAACAACTTTCAAGAAAGAAGTAGATAATTATTTGGCGAGGACAAGTTTGCGGGGCTATGGGGAGAGAGCGGGGGAGTGGGATTGATTTACTGTTCTTTTCAAAGAGCCGGCACAGACACGATGTGCCGAATGACCTCCTTCTGTGCTGTATGATTCTGTGCTGAGCTGTGGAGTCCTGTAGCTCAGTGGTTAGAGCACTCGCCTTGCAAGCGAGACACCTGGGTTCAATTCCAGGCAGAGGGCGAAACCTTGGGCAAGTTTCCTTACTCCACACAGAGCCTAATAATAATCCCTACAAAATCAAAAAAAAATTGGCAATTTCCAATCCACGGCTGTTTGTGGGACACTGCTGTGCGCAATTGGCTCCCGCGTTTCGCCCACAAAAATATGGTCAATTCACTTTAAAGTGTATTCTGTGAAGCGCTTTGAGCTGTTGAGAAGACATGAAAAGTGCTAAATCAAATGAAGGATTATTATTTATTATTATAATTCTATGATTCTATGATAAGCATTTATGGATATGTAATATGTGTTTGTACCTATGTATATTTGCAGACAGGCGAGGGGTTTGTGTGGATATGAGTTTGTCTTCATTTAAAAATACATGAATTCAAAGATTTTATCAGGTATCAAGGCTGATACTAACTCTTCACATTTTCTGTTGTAAAGAGAATGTGTGCTGAGCTTTGCACAGCGGCTCAGGTGGTGGAAAAGATGAGGTCACTCTCGCCTTTTCACAAAATGTGACCCTTATTTAATCATCTTATTTAAAACTACACATTTTCTCTGGTTTTGCAAGGTCATATGTGAAATGAGATTCCCCAGAAGAGGTCTGTGCGCTTGCGAGTCACCCTCACATACTCAGGCCTATCTATGATTTATGACATTCTTTGTAATGTGTTTGTCTTTCATGAGCTCCAGTAAAAGGTTATTCAAACACAACCACTGGATAAAGAATCATAACACTGACATACAGGATGTCATTAAAGGAATACTGCACGATAAGCCTTAGAATCACCTTGTCCTCAAGTATTGCCATAAAATTACAGGACCATTCCTTCAACAAACTGCTTTCATTTTTGTACATGATCGTTTGAAGAATTTTACCCAGCAAAGTCACTCTCCTTATCCAAGTCACTCTCCTGATCTAACAATCCTCCAGAAAAACTGATCATTCTGTTTGTTGGGCATTGCTGTGCATAAATTGGCTGCAGTGTTTGCCCACAAATACACAGTCACTACACTTCAGAGGAATTATCTGTGAATCGCTTCGAGATGTGTCCACGTTATAGGTGCTAAATCAAATGTAAGTATTATTGTTACTGTATACTATAATAATCCCTCCAAAACAAAACAATAATAAATTGGTCATTCTCAATCCACGACTGTTTGTGGGACACTGCTGTGTGCAATTGGCTGCCGCGTTTCGCCCACAAACATACGGTCAATTCACTTTACAGCATATTCTGTGAAGCTCTTTCAGACGTCTAGAAGACGTGAAGAGCGCTACATCAAATGCAAGG